GGCTGTTGAAGACAAAGACAGAGGGACTAAGAGTCAAAGAAAATGTATTTCTTTCTGTTTATTTGTTTCCTTCTTGCCTTCCATTTTGAAGGGAATTCAGCTATACTAGTCTGAGGGCATTTGCCTTCTTTAGCTTTGAATGATGAGGTTTCCTGTTGCCCACCATGGCCAAATCTCTATGGCACGCATCTCTTCAACTCTGAAGTCATCTACTTAGTTTCTTCGTTTACAGAGAGTAGGGGGAAAAAAAAACCAAAAACAATAGCTATATATAAATGAGGCATTATAGAATCGTACATTTGAAACTTATATAATTTTATTAACTAATGTTATTCCAATAAATTTAATAATAATAATAATGATAATAATAATAAAAGAATAGTTGATGTTCCTTCTATACTGACAAACACTTACTTGAAACATGTCTTCACGCTACTCTCTCTTCACAGAGAAGGGAAAAAAATCATGGAAAAGTTTATGAATAACCGAATTTCTGAGGGTATGGTAAGGAGCATTAACAGTTGAGATAAATTCAGAACAAAGACACAAAGGCAGAAAAGTAATTGATTTGTTTACAGGTTGGCAAATTTGTACATGGAAATCTTCATATGAGAGAATCTGTATCATAAGCAGATGAACAGGGTGTTTTTGAAAAAGCCAAACTAACTGTCTGTTGAGCAATCTCACAGGATGGCATCTCTTTAGTGACACTGCTGTGGTATAAGATTTTTCCCAAGTTTTATAGTTCAGAGACAAAATTTATCAAAATTCTAAATCTTCAGGATAGACTCACACAGCAAGCCAACTTGAATAGGAAAAAAAAAGCTATACAAACAAAAAAAAGACCCATTTCTTGGTTATAGTGGAGAAAGAAGAATTTTTTTTAAATGGGGCTTAGTACATTAAGGTGGGTAAGTATGGATGGAGACGTCAGAAAAAAAAAATTTACCACTTAGTGTAGCATCATTGTCTTAATTTGAATAAAATTGATAAGTATCAATATTCAAGTTATCAAAGCATAGCCAAGATATATATATATGTATATATATATATATTAATTTTTAGTTACTTCTTTCGAGTCATTACATCTCTGCTGTCTCCATTGCCCAAGTAATCGACAAGAGTTGACTGACATTATAACAATTTTGTATATAAAATATATTTCTTATTTAATAAATTTTCTAGAAGTTCTTATGAGCGCACTTGCTGTAACTAAAATAATGTTATTGCTAGGAAATTACACATGGAATAAAATTTATAGCGAATAATGAAAAGGTTGAAGACATTTAATTTAATATGCTTGATATTTATTGAAGTTTCTACTGTGAAATGTTCCCATACAACAGATATAAAAATGAATAAGAGTTTCTAATCTCCAGAGTTTCACCATCTAGATGAGGAAATATATATATGGAACAAACTGTAGTTTGTAAAGACCTGATATATTACTGTAGGCATACTGTTTGAAAAACACAAGAGGTAGAGAAATTGATTCTCCCTTAGACAGGTTTGAAGGTGAGGTAGAATTTGGGTAATAAAAGATGATATCGACTTGAAGTTTAAAGTTTGGCTAATAGCGTTAGTAATAACCTAGAGGTATGTGCGTAATGTTACACAGGTGAGGCAATGGGACTGCAAAAGCTATAAGAGGAAATGGAGCTGTAAAGTTAGGCTGGGCTAGATAGCGAAGGATCTCAAACTCCTAATTTGGTGTTGGAACATGTCATTGACCAACTAGGTAAGGCAGTGAATTACCTAGTTATTATGTGATAAATGTTTCAGAAAATTAACTCAGATGACAATGAGGAAGACAGGAGGGACTAGAAGGAAATCAGGAAGTGCTTAGGAATGAAATTGGAGATATAGAAAAGGAGATGCTTGTTTGGAGAGTAAGTTTCAAATAGCTGACACAGATGTATTCTCAGATGTTCAGCAGACATTTAGAAATACTGAAAACAGTACATAGGAGAGACCAAGACTGAGCTTTCACATGTTTCAAAACTATCCTCAGTTCTAGAGTTTCATATTCTTTTGTGATCAGTGACTGAATCACTTTGATTTTTTTTTTCTTATCTACTGTAACATTATATTGCAAAGCCTATTGCAGCATTTCTCCTTTCATTTTGGGCTGTCGGTCTTTGACTTGTGATTATTAGCTCAGAAATAGTTCTCTCAGAGGAGGTTCAGTTGCTGGTGTTATCTTGGCTTCCTTTCAGTGGTCTGTGTCAAGAGAATTTGTTTTGAAAGTAGAAAGTGTGTCTTTGTGCTTTTGGCAAAACTTTATCTTTTAAGAATCAAAATTCTATCTTTCTCTGCGACACTTAACACACTTTTAACTTCTCAGATCCTTCTAACCCCTTCTGTTCCTGTTTTCTCTGTCTTCAAATTTCATAAACCCATGTTATTGTATCCTGGCATCTTGAATGGAAGTACAAATACTTCATCATGGCAACATTCATTAACTATACTTTTGTCTCAAATATAGGAGAAAAACGGAAAAATCTATGACACTCGACTTAATCTCTTTTATGTAAATATGTGTATAGTTTATTTAGAAATCTTAAATTGCTTTTTCTTAAATACTTTATTGTCTCTCTTTAAAAAATTTAGAATAAATAACATTTGGTACTTTATTGTGTTATATTAATGGTACATCAACTTAAATAAGTATTGCTATATTAATTGTATTATGTAATAGATTAAGGTCTCAGTGTGTTTTGTCCAAAAATATATATATATTCTCAGTATTTTCATATTTTGCAGTTCTTTATACATAAATCTGATTTTTTCCTCTATTGCTATATGTCATTTTACAGGAAAATCCGTATTAATGCCAGAGATATTCTTCATAATGTTTAATTTTGTGAAATAAAAATTAATATCAAAGAGAAAACAGGAGTCCTTAATTAAAAAGCAAAGAAAGCACACTGAGATTTGAAATTAATAAAACTTTTCAAAGATACATATTTCTTATGTTTTAGTCTACTTGCTCTAATAGTAGTTATACATTTTTTATTTGTTTGCTTTTATTTCTTGAATAACTATTTTTTTATTTTAAAACCTTGAATAATTTTAACCATTCTACAGTATACAAGTGTAGATTATCATTAGAGTCGGCACTGAATTTAAAATATATTCACACTATTTCTTCAACTGAGTCCTTGATAATTTACTTTAAATACACTATAGGTCATTAAAAGCATTTTTCTCTGAATTGTAGGACTTAAAATGTACATAGTTCTCTTTCAGAAAATGATCATGTAATAATTTTGACAATGTAGGATTAGAAGGAGCCATATGGAACATATTTTGTTCATGTGTGGCAAACAGATACAGGTTTTACATGAGCTTCATTCTTCTGCACTATGAATGTTTAAAACATGGTTGATGCTTTCATATGGCTAATGAAGTAATGATGAAACCAGATTTACCTCAGACAGACTGAAGAGTAGAGGCAGCCTTCTTGTTCATTAGTATAGTGTGTACAAACAGATGAGCTTGCCAATATATACAACTCACTAGACAACTACATTTGTTTTTAGGTTCAATGGTAAATGGATGGGGCTCTGCATCTGATGAGGATCGTAACTTTTCTAGTCATAGATCTAGTGTAGGTAGCTCCTCAGATGGCTCCATCTTTGCCAGCGGCAGTTTTGCACAAGCACTGGTGGCAGCAGCAGATAAAGCTGGTTTTAGGCTGGATGGAACCAGACTAACAAGAACAGGTTGGTAGACTCTGAGTCAACACTCTTTGCATGAGATAATCTGGTCCTTTGGACACTGAGCTATTTTTCTCCTGTCTTTTCTCCTCAGTGAGTCTGACTGAAGGGATTTCTTTAATATGCATGAACATAATTTGGATGCTCAATTACCAAAACTCTCCTCTGATGCTAGTTTCGCAGAGCCAAGAATAGGTTCCTACTCAACACTTTGTCTATTCTTTATTTCTCCTTCCCTTCATGGTTCTGCTGATCAATTGGAATACGCTTCCTTTTTATATTACAGCAAAGCTGCAACTAAAGTTGTCATTAAATTTTCAATAACTCACACTTTGCAAAATTCTCACACAATCAATAATGTGCCCAGTGATTAAAATTATTCATCTTTTATCTTCATTACTTTTCTTTGCCCCATTTCTTTCTCCAAATGCATTTTCTGGGAAGGCTTTCTCAGCATGAAGTAAATGAGTCTAAGGCTGTCAGTCTAACAGTTCGAATGGCTGATGGTATTATTACTTGTTTGGCTGTTAAGAATTTAATCCAATAATTTAATATATGTTTTAAAGGATGCTAATAAAAGATACACCATTGCATGTGCAAGTTGAACAAATGATGATTACATGTGTGCTGCCCTTTAGCAAAACCTAATTTTGGTTTCTGCGAATAATAAGTAATAATATGGAAGACCAGCTATAAAATTTTTCATGAATCTGATCTTTCCCCCCAAAATAAATATGATATTTATTCTAATAATATATCAGTACTTTATAATCATTTGTTTTACTAAAACAAAATAAGTTTGGCATGGTGCATTTTATTATATGACTGTGTGTACTTCTAAAATGCATATGCAAGAAGTTTCTAATATATGAATTAAATTGAGCTACCTTACAAAAAAAATGAAATTTGAAATGCATTTTTGAAATCTTAATAGTATCCAAATAGTAAAGAAAAATGATTTGACCCTTCGTTAAACTCTCAGATTATAAAAATGAGTCTTAAAATTTTTTTGAAGTATATCTTTAATATCTCCTTTGAGTATGAATTGGACATCTTCAAATAAAATTAAAAAAAAAAAAAAGATTTTCCAAGCATTGCAGAGGTTTATTTTTCATATAGCATCCAAACTAAAATATGTCATAATATAATGGTTATTTGAATTTTCTTGCTTTATAAGGCATTAAGTCAGAAACTTTATGTTGCCTGAGAGCTTTTTGTGGCATAGCTATAAGCAGAGCAGTGAGAAAGTGCAAAGAAACTAATAAATTAGAAGGCATAAGTGCATTTCTTGCATGTATGCTAATAGCTAATAAAACATTAAGCAATATCATATCACACTGACTTAAGAAAGCATAACTACATACAATAATTTTGTACGAAATAAAAACATGCGCAAGAGAATATATACATATACATTAACCAACCCTCTCTTAATAATAAACATGATATTAAAATTATAGGATGTAGAAAATGTATTAGCTAACCTTTTCCCAAAATAAATTTTCCTGCATATGTACACTAAGCCACAAGAAAAGGACATAATACATTTCATTTTTCAATAAGAATTTGGAGTCTGCTCAGATACAATATTATTAATCAGAAAACACCTATTGTGCTTTGGATATAGAGTGGTTTTAACCTTCTATTTATCCTGTGCTCTACCCTGTTAACTGAGTTTCTGCTAAAAGAGATACAATTCAATGTATGAATGTATGGTTGGTAAGGTCAATTTAATATATGCTGAGCAGACCTTTCATGTAAAATTTCAAATGAAATTACTACAGGACATTTTTCTGTATTCAAAGATAGTTTGTAGGATTCTAAGAGTGAACTTTGATTAAACAAATGAGACAGTACATAGTTAATTTCAGAAATGGCTTCTTTAATTTTAAGAAGTAAAAGCTGCATTAATTTGCATATATCTATGAAAATATCACTGTGATTATCAAGGATAAATAAAAATATAATCACATAATATTGAGTTTTGGGTTAGAGGATTTGTTTTATATTCATTTGTTTGAATTTTCAGTGGGTAGTGTATTGATTATTAAAATTGGACAAAATAAATGCAGAAGGACATATTTTTACCATGAAGATGAACCAGCATTTGGTATCTTCAAATGGCATCTCTAGGCAGGTTTGCATGTTAGTCTTAGTAAGAGCAGAAATATAAAACAGACACAATCATTGTCTTATAATAACATTCTGTATACCCCATTCCCTTTGTTTCCTTTTTAGGCAAAACTTTTACCTCCTCCCAAAGACCTCGACCAACCAGCCCATTTTCTACTGACAGTAACACCAGTGCAGCTCTGAGTCAAAGTCAGAGGCCCAGGCCCACTAAAAAACACAAGGGAGGGCGAATGGACCAGCAACCAGCATTGCCTCATCGAAGGGAAGGAATGACAGATGGTAAGTTTGATTCCTTCTCTCTCATCTCCTCACTGAAGAGATATGTTCTGTGGAATCACCTATTTAGATTAAAGTAGCTATGGTATATTAGGCATTGCTTCAATAACAAGGCAGAAAACCTGGCAATATGGTCTTGCTTAGAAAAAACACCTTTTTAACAATCAGGAATTATTTCTGTCTTAACAAGCCCCAAGAAATATGTGCCATGACACTTTTCAATTTTGATTTTTCTGCCATTCTGGCAATACTCATTGATACTTTTCAGTGAATATTTCCTTTTAGCTTAACAAAGAAATCATAAGTAACATGTGCACTTACCATGTGGTTGGAATGTTTCTGATATTAAATTACGCTATTTTAGATGTTATTTAACTTTTGATTGTGAAGTGATTTGCAATTTGGTAATTTTTTGGTTTTGTGAATTTCCGGGCTAAAAGCATTTTACAGATCATCTAGTTAATGGGTCAGCAAACTTTTTCTGAGAAGCCAGATAATAAATATTTTTGGCTTTCACGGACTACACAGTCAGTCCTCTGTCACAATTCCTCAACATTGTCATTGTAACACCAGTGTAGCCATAGAGAAAAGTAAAAAAATGAGCGTGACCAATTTCCAATAAAACTTTATTGACAAGACAGGCAGTGGCTAAATTTGGTCAATGGGCCATAATTCCCTTAACTGTTTGAATCTTTTTATTTACATTGAGTTTTTGCTTAAACTGCTAGTTTCAGGAGACAATATTATTGAAAGATGTACTTGTTCAATAATGAGTAGTTCATGAGCTCTACAGAGAAAAATCTATTCCTCATATATTCAACTTATTTTTTAATATATGCAAAATGGGACTAAAAATATTTATCTTGAAGTTTTATTTTAAGGAATATGTAAGATAATATATTTAAAGTGCCTATAATGTTGGACCTAAAGGTAAATTTCTTCTTCCTTCTCAGCACAATTCCCTACAAGCCCACAAACTTTACTTTTAAATAGTTCTACTGAACACCAAAAAGATGATTCTAGCTAAGCTACACATTAGAAACATCTGGGGTGTTCTTCAAATATATTCCAGAGATTCTGATTTAATTGTTCTGGGATGAAAAGTAGTTATGAGCATTTTTAAAGCTCCACAAGTAAATCATATCTTTGAGAAACTATGACCCAGTCCTTAGCATTCATTTCAGTCTCTTAAGTTTATCATCGTAGGAGAGAATGATGATAAACTTAAGGCTTAATTGGAAAAGATGTATTTGTTCTTCATTAGTTTGGGGATAGGGTGTCTATGTCTGGCAACCATTTTTGTGCTTTGTTTTCTCATCTTATAATGTTAAGAATACTTCAAAGCCAAACATAACATGTTCTAAAAGCTTTCAGGTTTTTTATCTTTCCTACTTACTTTGTTTTCATTGGGAAATATTTCTATGGAATATGAGTGTAAGGGTACAACTGAGATTTCGATTCTCTATAAATGGATGTCCTGTGGTGAGCAAAAATACTCACTACTTTCTTTCTGCCTCAGAAGATACAAAGATTAGTTGAGTGCTTAAAGCAGTCTATAGTGTTGATCTTATTTACACTAAATAAAAAGAATTGCTCTCACAGACACACTAGTTATAAATTTCAGAATTAATAATTTTTTAAATTTTCCTGCTATGAATGTCATGGAAAGAGAAAAAAATCCAGGCACATGTTTTCTTGGCTTTCCCAAATTCTTTGAAAGCCATATCCATAATATGTGGAAGATACAATGTATAAATCGACAAAATAGAAAGCTAGCTTTTTTCTTGCAAGCTTTTTTAGAATGTCTGGTTAAAGCAAACTACCTCCTAGTTAAAACATGATCAATATAGTGCTTAGCTTTCTAAAAAATGAATAACTTCCTAACTTTTTAAATTTTCCATCATTCTGAAAAAGAGTTATGGATTATGTGTTATTAGTGGATACATTTTAAAAGAGGTGATATTGAAAAGGAAATTTTGCCTCTCATGTCTTCTCAAGTATTAGATCTAAAGATATTTTAGTTATAATACAAGAATATTTATTTGTATGACACTCTACATATTATCCTTAAGGATAGTGGTATATCACAGCAAATGTATGTCATAGTATTTCTCTGTTATGAATCTATGTATCAGTAATAATTTCATATTTATATATAAAATCAAACTATTCTTTCTGCGAATGTTGCTGCTTAGTAGGACTTGGTACATAGATAGTTTGTACTCAAACTTTTGCATTATAGAGTTTACAATAGTATTTTATGAGTATATTAATTAGGCTAATTATTACTAGCTGCTGTACCAGACAACTTCTATCCCTCAGTGGCTTAGCACAGTAAGTTTGTTTTTCATAGACACAATGGTTTGTAAAGGTCAGATGGCTCTCCTCTTAGTAATGTGAGGACATATGCTTCTTCATTATTGGGATAGCATTCTTTTCAAGATAGGATCTTTATGATTTCTGAGTGAAGAGAAAATAGAACATGGGTTATTCACTTAAGAGGTTCTGTGACCATGCCTGCAAATGGCACATATCACTTCTCTTATTTCTTTCTCAAGAACTTTGTCACATGGCATCAAACAAACTACTGGAGTGGGAAAGTAATCTTTCCTTGTGTCCAATAAGAAGAATTAAGAATGGTGGGAAATGCCAGTCTCTGTTTCAAAGGCTGTGCAAAAACCCATACACATGTTAAGAGTGACCTTTGCCCTTGGACAAAGTCTCCCCAAAGCAGGCATTGCTTAATCCAAATCTATTCTATTTTAAAGAGCCAAGAAAACACTTTAAAACCAATATATTGGCCAATGTTGAACAAAGAAGGCAAAGAAGGTAGTTTTTTATTTATGAACTTTTTATCCCACATTGTTTCCTTCCAGCTTGTCCTCCTCTCATTTCTAATATACTACAGTAAGAGGCTCTTTCCTAGCTCTGCCACAGACTAGCTTTGACCATTGAGTAAATTTCTTTATTAATCTATTTATTCAAATACTTATTAAGCACACACCAAATGATAGGCAATGAGAATCAAACAAAATGTCCTGCCCTCCCAGAGCTTCCATTCTAGTGGAAGAAGACAGATAAAGAGCAACATAAATATATAAGTGCAAATTAAAAGTATGTAAGATGATAATTAAATGTTATGGAGAAATAAAGTCCTCAGGGAAGGGCTTACCAAGAAGATGACAGCTGAAAAAAGATGGGAAGATTATAAGGAAAAAAGCAATGCTGATATCTGAAGAAAAATCATTCCAGGAAATGAGAACAGCAAGTGGAAACCTGAAATTTATTTAATAAAAAGCCAGAGGAGCAGTGCCACTGAAGCAGAGAGAGCAACAAAATAGAATACAGAGTCAGACAAGTAAATGAGGGCCAGAGTTCATAAGGTGTGTATGTTTCTATAAGGACATTGGCCCTTTGATGAGAAACCACTGGAGGTACACGCATGGATGCACGTGCATGTGCATGTGCATGTTTAAGGCAGAAGAGTGACATGATCTTATTTTTGTTTTTTTATAAAAAGTCACTCTAATTGTTATGTTGAGATTGACTCAATGTACTTCTACATGGAAGCACAGAAACCACACAAGAGTTTATAGGAGTAATATAGGGAACAGTAGTTCATACCAAGGTAAAATCAATGGACATAAAGAGAGGAAGGTTGAATTCTGGGTATAGTTTGAAGGCAGAACCCACAGGATTTGTTAATGAAATTAATATAAGCTATAAAGCAGGAAGTCATAGATTACACATAAGTTTTGGCAAACTTATAGAATGGAATTTCTACTAATTGAAATGATGAATACTACAGAGGAAACATATTTTGTAGAAGAAGACCTGGAACTCAGGTTTGATATGTGAAATTTGAGAGACCTAAACATATGGGTCAAACTATTCAGTGTGAATTGGTTATATGAGTCTGGAATTCATAGGAGGAGAGATTCAGGCTGAAGATATTTAATTTCTTCATGTCTTCTTTCTCTAACCTAAAAAAAAAAAAAGAGGATAATAATGACTAATGGCATATTTATCATTGGACTGTTGTGTGCCTGACAATAGCAGATCCTCAGTAGGCCAGTAAGATACTCTTTAGTCAATTGATTTAGTTAAAATGAATCAACATAGAAATGAATAATAAATTGAATTTAAGTAAATATATTTGATTACATACTTGTATTTTTTCCACAGCCATTCTTAATACCATCTTTTTTCCAACTTGTTTATTTTAGTATGTATGAGATGTTCTTTCTTTTTAGGATATACAAACTCCAAAGATGTTACTTAAAATTTGTAGCTATATAATTTCAGGTTAAATTAAATAGTAATCAGAAATTTAGCTCACATAAGCAGATGCCATTTTGGCCATTTTAAAAATTAAGCTGCTCCTATGGAGAATAAAAATCAATGACAAGATATGTTATTTTGGAAGAAATTATAATAGTTTCTTTTCTACTGGCAGTCTAAAATCTAATAATTCAAATGAAATAATTAATTTGCATTTATAATAATACCTACTGAAGGAAGTTAGTGTTCAGTACAAAGAAAACACCAAACTCATTGGTAGATTATTCAACAAATAGATATCTCTATATTGGATTAGCTCTTCCTTTTGAAAGAAATATTCCGAATGTGACTTGATTCTCCCAGACAGAAACTGTGTCCCCTTCAATAATTAGTAATTTATAATCTAACAAGAGGGCATAGATAAGAGCTAGGAATGCTGCTCCAACATGGGAACTCCCTGAGCAGATGCTGGGGAGACCGTCATTATCAGTTCAATGGCGGACAATATAATTTTGCTCATAGAGTATAAAATTTCTTAAGGAAGTCTTTTAAAAAGAGGAGCAACTTAACTTTCCTTAAGGAAGCTTTTGTACAAAAAAGTTTATACAAACAATATTATTAGAAACAAGAGCATGATTACAAAAATAGCATAGGAAATAATTTTATATAATATCTTCTACAATAAAATAAATATGTATATTATATATATTTGCTCTTTATGAACAAATAATATAATTACTGATACCTAAGAATTAACAAAGAAGTTATCAAAAGCATGCCAGAAAAAAATGAAATAATCCAAAAGAATGTTTAGAATGTCTAGAAGATTTCAAAATTTTCAACAATGTAATTTCAGAACTAGTGTAATAGTAAGTATAATAGTATATAGTATAATAGAACTAGCATCATGATTAAAGAAATATGAAAGAAGGGACTATGATTTCACAATTGAAGACATTAAAAATATAAAAGAATCACAATCTGAAGAGCTAATATAATGAAAATGAAAAATTAACTGAGGCTTTGAACTTCTAATTTCTTCATATCTGTTAATTTAAAGAGCATTTCTGAGAAGTTATCTATTCCACTACATCTCAAATTGTCATGATGCATTGTCTACTCTAACACCATGAAACATATTCTATCTGTACTCTGAACATTGGCTGTTACCTATTAAAGTTAATACTTTGAAAGATTATAATATATTAGTTGTAACTCATTAGCTAATTCATGAAACGAACAGCCAGCATTGATTGTCAGGCAGAATGTTAATTACATTTCATAAATGTTGGCTTAACCCTTTGACTGTTGCTAAATGTGCCACATACACGGATAAAGGCAGTCATATGTTGCATATGATACGGCATATAGTTCTTAATTTCCCGAGGGCAACATTTCCTATGGAGATTAGCAGGGCAGCTTTTATTCTTCCCAGAGCCTTGTATTAACACAGCTGCCAGAGTTTCTCGTCATTTTGTGTTATGATATTTCTACTTTTGGGAGTTGAGGGTCGACAATGGAATAAATATGGAGAAACCATAAACTTCCTCTTATACCTTGAATATTAGCCTCAATGTGCAATTGAAAACACTCTCCATATATGACAGTTGAATGAAATTAGTTGATTTTATTTCAAAGAGAGCTGTAATCAAAAGATAGCAAAGAGATCAATAATATACATTTTGGATATACATAACTGACCTTTTTTTTCCATCAAAATTTCTTTTACATGGGTGATACCTTTAGAAAGGCAAGAGTTTTTCTTCATCTTGAACTGAAATCTGTATTTTTCAATAAATTTTAGTCCATTCTAAACATTATTCAAAATTTTTAGATCTTCCACCACCACCAGACCCCCCTCCAGGTCAGGGTTTAAGGCAGCAAATAGGCTCAAGTCAGCATGCTGGTAACGTGGAAAACTCAACAGAGAGAAAAGGAAGCTCTCTGGAGAGACAACAAGCGTCCAGCCTAGAAGACACAAAGAATTCATTGGAATGTCCAGCTAGAACGTCACTAGAGTGGCAGCGACAAACCCAGGAATGGATTAACGCCACAGAACGCCAAGAAGACATACGGAAAGCCCTACACAAACAAGGTGTTGGACCAGGTGTGTTCTGCACAGTCCCAAGAAAGTGTGCGCTTTTATCATTTTTTTCCTACCTGGTATTTTAGAAATGACAGTTGTGAAAGGGCATCTGAAATACATTTGCCTTGAATCACTAATTGAAGTTGGAATTCTACAGCAGAGCACACCAGCACATCACTTAAGACATATCCCACTGGGATTTGGCCCTCAAGTTAACCTCTGCATAAGATCTTTGAGCCCAGAGACCTCCAAACTCCATCCGTAGTTCTCAGGAGACAAGTTGATTTTTTTGCCTTTTAATGTTTATATTGAGTACTTTTAAAATCACACAATTTTATCTTTAGTGCCAGTTTAAATTCTGCCTTCAACCAGTTTGTTCATTTTGACTGAAGTAGTTAGTCATTTTGAAAGGAAAACTCACTTCAGTCAAATAGTGGGGCTAATTGTATAACAAATAAAATTACAAATAAATGCCCAATCTCAGAATCCTTGTGTTAGAAAGATTAAACCAGACCGGAACTTTCTCCATCTGATTAAATTTAGTTGACTGCTAATAATTCAATGGGGAATGTTTTTATTTATAAATCAAGCTTCCTGAAAATGTCACAAAATAAATTTTATACTTTGTAGTTGGAGTTTTCTTTTTCTTCCTTTTTTTTTTTTTTTGGAGGTGGGAGGTTGTTGATCCTGTTATAGAAATGTGTATTCTGGAACATCTCTTTTTATGTCAAGATTCACTGAGTATTAAAACATAGACACACACATACACGCAAAACATTTCAAAGAGTTTCCTTATATATTCATTTATTCATTTGGACTAAATCTTTTCTAGATATGTCCTCTACCCATGCATTTTTCATAATTATATTTTGTTCTAACTTGGTGCCCAAGGTTTTAGAAAATATAATTTATGCAAGGGCCAGAAGATGACAATTTTAATATCTAGGTTCAGTGAAACATTTAAGAAGGTTATATCATTAAGGCTGTGAGAGACGAATCATGTGATCTTTGTAGTTAAAGATTACTTAAGGAAAAAATACTAAATTTAGTTAGCATTTTTTTAGTCATCTAATCACAATAACAATGGTCTATACCCAGAAAGAAGGAAGAAAATAAAAGGGGGGTTGAGGATACAGATGGAAAAAAGAGAAGAAGGAAGAAAAGAAGGAAGGGAAAAATGAAGAATACAAAGAAAAAATATTTCGAGTATTAAGTATTTAGTAATGCATATCATGAGTTATTTGTAGAGAGATGATACATAATAAGAATATAGACACATTATTTACTAAAATGTATGAGTTTCTCTTTTTCTATTAAGGAAGAATACAGCATTTCAAATTATGTTTTTCTATCCCAAGAAACAACAGAAATTTAAGAAGCTTATTTTAATAACTAATATATATAGTTGTTTATCTAAATTGAGAAAATGTTACCATAATCTGAAACTGAAACCATGTTCCTTCAATCTTAATAGAAAATTAAACTGGAGCCTCATTGAACTCCAGAAATTATTCTCAGAAATGCTTTTGTTATGCAACATGGTTCACTATATGCAAATCTCTTTTACAATAAATTTAAATTTCACAAATTATATATAACATTGTATACTTATCCCAAGGTCTTTTGTAATCCTGTTTTAGTTCTTATTGTAGGAACTATTGATTGAACATAGAAATTTCTTTAATATCTGGGCCTTATTAAACCTCATCTTTTTAATTTTCCAAAAGAGTAAAATAATAGATATCTCATCTTGAGGTAAATATTTAAAGTTAAGTTGTTTTGGCAACATGTTGCTGTTTAACTTAGCCGTGTGTGTGTGTGTGTGTGTGTGTGTGTGTGTGTGTGTGTGTTCTTCCCCCAGAGGAGACCTTGGTGCCCTACAGCAAGCCCAGTTTCCCATCTCCAGGAGGTCACAGCTCATCAGGAACAGCTTCTTCTAAAGGATCCACTGGACCTAGGAAAACCGAGGTGTTGAGAGGAGGCCACCAGCGCAATGCCAGCGATCTTCTTGACATAGGATATATGGGCTCAAATAGTCAAGGACAGTTTACAGGTGAATTATGTAAGTGCTTTAGAACATTTAAAAGGCAATGGTGAAGGAATATTGGATTAATAAAGTAGAGGAGTAAAATGTTTTCCTCAACCTCTTAAAGTCTCTGGCTGGGTCTGAAAATTAAACCAACAAAGACAGATTATCAGAAAACAAAAGCAAACAAATTTTATTGAATGTACATGAGAGCTTTCACAAGAGGATGGAGACCCAAGGAAGTGACTAGAGGAGGAAACTTTTCTACTTTTTAGACAAAGAAACAATACATTTGTAAAGGATTGACAAAACATAGGGGCTTGGGCTAGAGGTAGGAAATGGGAAAGAAGTAACTAGGAAAACGGGTTAGTTTAACATGTTTGTTTATATAGATTACTCAGCCTCAAATTCTCATAATCTCCTGATAAGAATGTCCTCTCTCGTTCTGGTACGGAGAGGATACCTTTCACATGGACATTTTATAACCTGTTTCAGGGAAGAAGGGCAAAGGGGTGAGGCCAAAGGGGTGAGGCTATTTCCTCTAAGTCCTTCAGCTTTAGATATCCAATATGCCAAGGTGTCATATTTTGGTTTAGTATGTTCTGAACCTCATCAATAACATTGCCACAATAAACAAATTTTAGAATATTAGAAAACTTGCTCTATTTTGACCAAAAAAAAAAAAAAATCAGTTGTAATTTTGAGCAGATTTGGTCATATGGCTGGTCACGTGGTCACAGATTTGATCATGGATGTTTACCATAGTCAATTAAATTAACATTTCTCCTATTACAAGGTTGATTTATGCAAAAATAATAATAATAATAATAATTTAGGCAATTAGTCTGAATACTTACAAGTTAATTAAATAGCCTACTTTGTCGTTTTGTCTATTTTAACTTAGCACAATAAAGAAAGGGAAGCATATTGGCTCTTTGGTAGTTTTAAAGAAACTCCTTAGGAATTCCTTATTTTTTTCATTCTAGGAAATGAACCTAGAAAAGATGATTTTTTATTTTAATTAATTTGTAATATTTTGATTATTATAACATATCATGAAACAATTATTTTTCTTTTTAAATAAAGAACCATCATTGGTACTTAGTATAACTAATTTATTTTCTAGATGTAAAATACTAAATAATAAAGAAAGATAGGATGTCCCAGTAGGTAAAAAGCATTGAACTCGTATTAATTTTATCAGGAAAGTTATCAGTTTTGCTGTCCAATGTCAGAAACAGTATTCAACTGTTTCTTTGAATACAGTTTAAAAATACTTCTAAGGAACAGCTCTGGGTTCCAGTCTTCTCAACTACTTACTGGTTATATTAGAAGAGAAAGTAAACTACTGTCCTAATCTCTTTTTTTTTTTTCTTATCTAAAATATTGATTACTATTATGCTCACATTGCAGAGTGGGGGATACCATCAGATAATGGAAAGTAAAAGTACTTTCAAAACTCTAAAGTTCTTTATCAATGAGAGTTATTATTGTTATATATTACTAATCTAATTAATATATGTTAATTTGATTCATGATGACTTGGATTTTTTTTAACTTTTATTTTGAAATAATTATAGAGTCATAGAAGTGTAAAAGCAGCTATACCTGGATTTTAAATCTCCAGATGTTACAAGTGTGTGTGGTTTTTTTTAAGTAAAATTTCTTAAATTCACAAACTCACAGAATCTATTTGATAATGTTATCTTCATTTATTATCTGTTCACTTTGGTTTTTGTTATGCTGTTCAGGTTAAAAGAATGCTTAATTTAAATGCAAACTTATTTCTGATTTGTTTTTTTTTGTTTGTTTGTTTTGTTTTGTTTTGTTTCTTCTCTTTATAGAGTAACTGAGAAGAGACATGCAAAGCTGCTCTGAAGGACCATCAGGTCTGAACTCATGGAAGTGATGACACTAAACAGTGCAATGAACAATTTCTTTATTTATGTACTATTAAAGGAACTGTAAATGCAATGTAAAGACACACAGCCACACATATCCCACAGATATTTTACTTCTGTTCTTCTCTTAAGTACACCACCCACCTTAACTCTTTCTTGTCAGGAGTATATAAAAAAAGAAAGAAAACAAAGCTCGCCCTCCGGGAAGAAAAGGATTTTCCTCTGTATATAATTTCTTTTGTGCATTGCTATGCAAGCTCACTTTTTTTAGATCTGTTCATATTATTGTCTGTTCTTATTGGTCTGTTGTACTATATGTGAATTAATAGGCTGTGGTGCCATATATTAACTTTTAATTGTGTAACTTTTATGTTTAAATTTTGCACTGCGATTTTATTTGGTGATAAGCACAAATCTCTACTCCTCGTGACATGAAGAAAAAGACTGAATGTGAAAGGAGTTTCTGTACTGTAAGCTAGGTTGGGTAATGCTGGTCGTAAGGAATCACGTTAGATGGTTTTTGGTTGGGGTGTAGAAATAGGAAGATGCGAAGGAACAGTGCTGTTGGTGAAGTCTTTTTGAACATCAGTGACTGAGTCAATAAAAAAAGCAGAAAGGTGGCTTTTACTATTGACAAAAGCAGGGGTCAAAGGAAGGAAATTTAAGTCTTAAGACTGAATACGTATTAAAATACACAGGTAGCAAAGATGTACTAAACTTGCTTAAAAAATAAAAAGTAAATTAAAGTTATATTTAGAATCAACTTTGCCTGTCGTTGTAATTGACCCATCTGAGAATTACAGGCAAAAGGAAATTAAGGTGTTTCACAAGAGCTGTATTTATATTACAGTTCTTTTAAAAAGCATTTTATGAATTATCATAATTAATCTCTCTAACTCATTAAGTCAGAATATAATATGATGTTCCCCAAGGAAACAAACCAAATGAACTCTACAGCAAATAGTTAAAGTGGCAATTTATTATTAGGACATACTCGAACTGCTTCTAAATACAAAAACTCTATTGCAATATCTTGTTTTATCTTTCTAATACATGTACAGTACACACTAGAGGATAGAGCTGCATCACTTCAATTCATGATTTCTTTTAAAAAATAATGCAGTCATATACAACTTTGTGTTTCATTTGTTTAAGAAGTAAAATTTATGCCACCAAATATATAGCCAAATTGAAAGTACTTAAAAAGCAGTGCTCAGAGTATGTTCAGTTCATGGAAACTAGATTTATTGGAATAAATATTTTATGGTACATTCTCAAAAATTGGCTACCAACTAAATTATGTTTGACCCATTTTGATGAGTAAATTGAAAAAAAATTGAGGAGAAAAATGCATGTTTATATACTTTTTAAATAAAACTGAACCTCGTAAGTGGACATTAATAACAGTGTCCTGCCTCATTTGTTTTCACGACTTTGAGAACAAGAAGTTCCTGAACATCAGTCATGTATGGTCAAAATGAATATGACTTTAAAACATATGTTAGCTACTGTACATGTATAGTCAATCAGTCAAGTAGAAGAGAACTTTTCCAAAATTTTTACTTGTGTTTTATCCCCACGTGCTGCCTACATAATTGTAAATTCTATTTCCTTATATTCTCTCACATTTTTCTATGATGTGTTCAGTAGTTGGTACTTTAAAACATATTTGATGTAATAATAAGGATCAATTCTAAAATATGGGACCCATTTGAATGACAAATCATGCTTTGTGCATTTTTGGCTCAGTCACCAATTGTGTGCCAGATGGCAATGGCAAAATTAAATGTTTCCCTTTTTTTTTTTTTTTTTTTAATTTTCTGAGACTTCATCAACACAGGCAAGGATAGAGGAACAATATGTTCCTATGGGCTCCAACTTCTTGGTGCCATGTAGTTTATTTCTTCACTAAGGAGAAAAATAATTCTGAGACACATATTAAACAGTCAATTTTCTCCTATAAGTGTCTGAATTTTAAAGCAGTTTGATTTCTCTGGAACAAAGAGAATGGGGAAGATGAGAAGTTTCTCCTAAGAAAGAGTACATAGTTATTCACAACCATAAGATGTGAGGCATTTAAATTTTTATTTATGCATTTTCCTACTTCACCTCTTTCTATTTAAAAGCAAACAAATTTTTGTTCATTTGTATTTCCTCTTTATATTCCTCTATAACTCAATTTAGTCGAAAACTTAAGTTCATTACACATTTTACACATAGCCCTTGACTCCTGGTAACTGGCAGGTGTAGGTGACTAATAAACCACTACTTCAAAAACAGAATATGTGTATGCAGGTGACTTCTGAAATAATGCAGGGCATGCATCATATCTTCCTAATTGTCTCCAGTGCATAAAATGAATTTATAATCAGATTATGTCAGTGCAGACTTATAGTTTCTTGGAATACTCTTTTAGAATAGTCCATATTCCCTGTTAAATCTAGTTTTTAATAAATTAGTCAGTCAAATCTTTCACACAAAAGATCATTCTCAGATAAATGTAGAGCAAAATAAAAAGCTGTGGCTATCCAAATGAATTCAGGAACTGTATCAAAAAATCAAAAGCCTTTGTCAAATTGCTATATGTAAGAAGCTTCTAATCTTTATAGGTTAAAATATCATTTAAAAAACACAAACATGTATGAATACTACCACAGTTTTTCATTTTCATTAAATGACTGGTTAGAAATTCACTGAGCTCACTCTTTTGCAGGTCTAAATGGAGGCCCCACATCTGCTGTCAAAAGACATTCTAGTGGGAGAGAACGTAATCTTATCTTGCACTCACAGGCAACGCTGCTGTGCTGTCATGCCCTGCACAAGCACAGCTCCATTCTTAACTTACACAGTCTCCACTAGGGAAATACTGAATCGGTGCCCCAACCCAGGTATGCCTCAGAGTATGCACGCAGAGTCAAACTACCCCTTCTCTAAATCTTTTCTATGTCATTTCTAAAATAACATGGGAGAGTACAGGCTCATGAAAACAACCGATTACTTCACAGGATTTGAATCCAGTTCAAGGGAGAATAGGAAAATCAAGACAAACATATAAAGTATCATACAACCAAAGGAAGGAAAAACATTACAGGTTTACTTGCTTTAGGTAACAAAACAGATTAAATGGTGTTCTATGTGATAATTTAATGCTCTGGTTATTTAAATATATTTTTAACAGTATTTGAGTTGAAAGTTTGCATCAGCTTGATAGAACACCCCAAATTTCTATTCAACAAATTTATATAATTGTCCATTGACAACATAATTATAATAACACAATGAGCTCTAACTGTGGTTTATCTTCTCCACTGGAAAGTGATTGTGCATCAGTATTAAAAATATGCAGAACCATGACATTCACTAATTTGTTTATCTGCTTCCGTATATTGTATTTATAGAATTACGTGACAAAAATTGATGTAAAGCAACATCTTTCCACATTCTCTTAAAGGTGAAGTTAATTTTATTTTGCTTCTCTATACTGTGTACTTCACATGAAATACCATACAGGTTTTAAATGAAGTTCAATTTACTAATTTATCTTATGTCATAATTTTCAAAAGCATTTATTGAGACTTTAAAATGTTGCAAGATAAGGGATTTTGTGGCCGTGGGTAGACTTTTTATACTTTGTTTTATAGATGGATTCTTTTTTAACTGTAGTTTGTTTAAGTCACTAAACAGCATCCCAAATTTTAATGTGTTTCATCTGATGTTGTTAGATCAGAAAAGAAATTGGCGTAACACTGATTAATAGTATTGTCAAAGAATTGTGTATTGTGTACTCACTGGGAAAAAATAAAATATATTCACATTTCAAATTTGTAAAAAAGCCATTTATGTGAAACAAACTTGTCTGTAGACAAATCATAAATGGACCGTTCTGTTACTTCTACATTAATTTTTTTTTGTCACCAAATGCACAACGTCCTTTTCTCATTCATTTGTAGTTTGGGCAGTGGTAAATGGAAATTGGCGTGGACTTAAAGTAGTGACTATAAGACATCAATGAAGAATGAAAAAGAATTTGAAATTAAAGATTTCACTCTATTACCAGTACTTTCCCAATCTGACCTTCCCTACCCCATAAGGACCTTCAGATAAATAGAACACAAACTTCTTGTCTACAATTTTTTTAAAATTTTTTTATTGTAACTGAATATGAAAATTAGAAGGAAGTAAATATTTCTTAATTGCTTTAGAATAGTTATTGATAACTTTTTTTTTTTTTTTAAGATAATAGATATGTTGAAAAGTTCTCTTAGGTCCTGGGTAGAAAAGGAAAAATTTCCTATTTTATTGTACTTCATAAATATTTTATTCTTTTTCACTGTTAAGTGCAATTACAGTATCAGATTGTCTCTAAAAATAATTTGTGTTATTTAAAATAATAATCATAGTAACAGCAAAAATGAAAAAAGAAAACTGTTTAAGTCTGAAACATTCATCTAAAAACATTTTTAAAAAAACAGGTAAGTTAAACACTCAGGTTTTAATTTAGATTAACAATATGAAAATAAAATAGTATTAAAATAATCACAAGTAATGTTGCATTAATACAATACAATGGCAACACATGATATATGTGGTTAAGGGTGAAATGTATCAGTTACAAATATGATAAATTGTGGAGAAATTACAAAATGATCATTGCTTTATGGAATTTAAGTGTATTATAGAAATACCTACAAATGGCAAAAAAAGTGCAAAATTATCAGAAAGGCTTATTAAAATTATTAAAATAATATATTACCTTTATTTTACATTAGTTAGAGAAAACATATATCAAGGTTGCAAGAAAATATTTAAACAACAAATAATATTTAATGTCCTCAATTTGTGAAAATGTATTTTATGTCTTCCAAAGAGATTATTGGCAGAGTTCATGTTAAATTTCACTTCATATTAGAGATGTGAATTGAGACTGTAAAAACAGAAACCCCAATTGTAAGGTTTCAAAGGAAAAGACAAGTAGAAACACTAGCTAGATGGGGAAGACAATATGCTGTCTCCAAAAGGTTTCAAGAATTCTTTTACCTTAATGAATTTAGTGCAGTCTTGTTTTTGGCCTTCAGCATCAGAAGGAATTTTCCTCAGGCCCAGAGAAGGTATGTGAGAGCGTTGAAAAGCTGTTAAGAATCCCAGAGACAGATGCGAGATAATTGTAAGATTGTGTGTTTAATTTATGAATAACTGCAAATTCATGACTTGATTTTGCATCTTCTAGTCAACACATTTTCTCCTTGCAATAGTCAAACTACAAGAAATATATATTCAGACCTCTTGGTAATTAACCAAGTAAAGGTACTTTTGCTTTGTGATTCAAATACAATGACCAGGGGCTTAGGCAATGTCCATGACGGGGAATTTGCAAGCTACTCTAACTGCCTTTAGATTATAGCACTATAGCACCCTTTTCTTATAAGATACCTTGGAGATAGATACTGCCTCTAGATAGTAGACTATATATGCGTGTATATGTGTGTGAGTATGTATATGTGTGTGTATATATATATATATATACACGTATATATATATATATATATATATATAAATTTTTTTGACAATTTTTAGACAGTGTTTTTCTAGTCATTTATAATTAATTTGCTTCTGATCAACTGGCTTTTTTTTGGTTTATTTATGAATAAATAAATATTGCTTTTGCAAGCAATATTGCAACACTGTGCTAAGTAATATTTGGAATAAAGAGAAAAATAGCCTTTGTCTTCATAAATTGATTAGAATCTTCTGTTAAGTCTAGTCCTGATCTCTAGGAAACCATCTTTTTGATGAATGTTTGTAAGCTAAGGGAAAAGAGGCCATAAGCAAGGCTTTTAAAATTATTTACAAACAATAAAATCTTCATTAGCTTCATTCACATCCCCCAGCATCACATTATCCATAGTGTAGTCTTTCTCAAATTAGTCTCTGGAATTTTAATAGATATTTATTTTCTCATTTATTTCTTTTTTTATCATTACTAAATTGTAAGCTTGAAAGCCAAGAGCCTGTATTTGGTAAGATACTTATTTTAGTATAATACTTTTCTAAATCAGAGATGTTATCATTTCCTTTCCATGTTTTGTTTATGAAATGAACCCCAGACTCAACTGCACCGCAGTGGAGGGCCTTCCTCAAAAAGCCCCCACATGCTTCACCTAACATACACCAATGCCCCAAGACTCTCCAAGGCCTGCTGGAGCCATAAAGCCTCCCTTCCCCTGAGAGTGAGCCAAGTGCTCTCAATTCCAGAGACCGACCTCAAACATCCCAGGGGATTAAGCACCACCTAGTGTCCCCACAAATGCCAGGGGCTCTGAAAAGAAAGCATTCTCCACTGCTCAAGCTAAAACTGACTTTTCACAGCAATTTGATTCCCCGGAGGGTGTGCACCCTTCCGGAAATACTGCAATACCAGGTCCATGGGCAAAGTGGACAGAGCAAGCTCCTATTCTATCTCCTTGCTCCAAAAATCCATTTAGTATATTGTCCTCGGATAAAGGACTATCATATATTAAACTGGTAAAAATAGATATTACACCTGATCTTAGCCAAAAGGCTGAAAAGTGATCTGGAATTTTAATAAGTATTTAAAAAATAAAGAAGGAGATAAAGGAATGGAAACTCTACTGTAAAATATGTAAAGAGATTTCTTTACTACTTGACTCCTTTTCAACTCTGTTCAAATCTTATATGACATAAAACCCTTTGTCTTGGGGCATCTTGAGACTAGCACTATGTGAAACCGACTTTGAGAAATACTCTCCTTCATATTCATTCTTCCCCTCCGCTCTACATTAATGGCTCCAAAGGCATTGCATGCTGTGCCTTGTGTGTGTGTGTGTGTGTGTGTGTGTGTGTGTGTGTGTGTTTTAAATAAACTTTAACAATTTTATTTTAAGGAGCTGTATTTTCTAATTGTGGTGGTTTTTTTAAAAAGTCAATATTACATCATGAGAAAAAACGTGAATCTCAAGTAATCTACAGGGATGATGAAGAAAAAATATGCAGTGTATTCTTCTATTTTTGAGGGTTTCAAAGAGTTAATTGAGATCATGCTCAGCACTTCAGCAACAGGTAAGACTGAATTATGTTCTTTAGCACTTCAACATTTTTTTCTTATATATTCAAATCATTAGGCTAAAACTGAAGTATAAAAATATACTCATTTTCTCCCCCCACTCAGCTCTCACAAAAGAATAGATTTTTGTTTTCTCTTTTTTAAAACTCGTCTGATTGTTATTAGATTCTACTTTAAGCTGAACTTTGCCAAAAATAATAATGGATAGCACAAAATTTAGAGGCAAAGACTTAAATTTCTCAATAAAATCGTATAGAACTAAGTCCCATTAGGATAGGAAATACAACTAATTAGTAACAATGAAAAGCACTGTACTTAGAAATGGATAAATATAAAAATGTAAAAGAGAAATGAAGGATTAGCTTTACATGAACTTTCACTGGCATTAAGTGTAAAAAAAAAAAGACAATAATGTTTTAAAATTAAAGTAAAATGGGAGAATCAAAACACAGTAAGTGTTGGCGAGGATGTGGAGACAAAGGAACCCTTGTACACTGTTGATAGGATTGCAAATCGGTATATCTGCTATGGAAAACAGTTTGGAAGTTCCTCAAAAAATTAAAAATAGAACTACCTTATGACTCAGCAATTCAACTTCTGAGTGTTTATACGAATACAAAACACTAATACAAAAAGATATATACACCACTATGTTCACTGCAGTACTATTTACAGTAGTCAAGATACAGAAGCAACCTAAGTTCCTATCAATAGACAGCTAGATAAAAAAAGAGGTATTATATATAATGGAATATTACTTGGCCATGAAAGAATTAACTCATCATTCACAATGACATGAATGGACCTAAAGTGTACTAGGCTAAGTCAAATAAGTTAGGCAAAGACAAATACCATGTGCTCTCACTTATATATGGAGTCTAAAGAACAAAACAAACAAAACAGAAACAGACTCATAGATACAGAGAACAATCTTGCCGGCTAGGAGGGTTGTTGGGGGACTGGGTTAAAAAAGTTGAGGGGGTTATGAAATACAAACTGATACTAACAAAATAATCATGGGGACATGAAGTACAGCATAGGGAGTATAGTCAATAACATTGTAATAACTATGCCAGGTGGATACCAGACTAATCGGGGGGATCACTTTGTAAATTATATAAATATCTAAACACTATGCTGTATACCTGAAACTACTATAAAATAATGCCAGGTGGATACCAGACTAATCGGGGGGATCACTTTGTAAATTATATAAATATCTAACCACTATGCTGTATACCTGAAACTACTATAAAATAATATTTAATGTCAAAAAAGTAAAATAGGAGAAATAAGGATTTAAATTTACTTGATTAATTTTGAATGATGATAGATGAATACAATAATAGATTAAAATGCCACAGCATAGGTGATTTGAGAGCAGTTGCCTTTGAGTAGTGGTTATTCTAAAAAGGATGGAAAAGGAAAATGGAAAAAAAAAAAAACATGAGGAAAGTAAGCTTTTGGCTTAAGAAAAGGGATTAAAACATTTTCAATAAATGTGCAAGCATTTTTTGTGTAAACAATTATCCATTGTGGACTAAATCTCTGTTTTCATTAATGGTAGTAATGCTAATTTTTTTCCTAGCATTTCCCTGTTGTTTTAAGTATATTGCAATTATACTTAAAATGTGTAATAGAAACATTCATATATATATATATA